CAAACCACATTCTTATGGTCCTATACAAAATTTCATAGGCAACCAATTTGGATGTCATTTATACTAGTTGTCCCATAAAGTTGGGGACTTGAGACCAAAAATAAAAAAAAACCATATGTATGCAAGCTGTTGCTAAAACGTTAATTTGATGAATTAAGTCACATTCAATTAGATTTTGTTTGACATTTTCTCAACCCTTTTATCTTTGTATCTTTGATCTCTTTGCCGTCTCTATAAAAGGGACCAAGCCCCAGCCCTCAACTTCAAGCATCAAACATAAACAAAAACTCGAAACAACTCCATCCAATACTTAGACGCCCGAAGAAAATGAGTTTCTTGAAGAAGGTAATGGCAATGCCCCTCCTCCTTCTGTTGCTGGGCTGGTTCTTGCTGCTAGCAATTCTTCTGCACAAGCTATTTTATCATGTCCACGGAATAATTTGTAGGCATGCGTTGGAACGTCGGGAAACGTCACACGTAGTACTCTGTCTTTCAGCGGAATTGCACAGGTTGTCCGAATTAAGGCCCAGCTGGGAGAACAGGCGGTAAACAATTGCGAGAAAAAGGCCATTGCTACTATTGGTTCAATTGATTTAACCGTGCTCGAAAATGTATCCCCCAGCGGTAAATAACTTATTGGCTAGAAGGATAACAGACGTCCCCTAACTACTCACTATATATATCTATATTAGTAAACTGTAATATTATACGTATAATGTTTTTAAGTATAATGGTTTTCAAAATATACATGACTTGACATTAAACCCATGAATATATATATATATATTAATTCACTAGGGTTCTCAAATTAGAAAATTAATTATAAAATGTCATGTTGTATTATAGAGAACACTATACTTAAAAATATTGTACATAATGGCAACTTCGTATAAATAATGTTGAGCTTTTTAGCTCCAACATCGGATATGGGTCGTTTCTGTCTCCTGATATTTAGTGGCTAAACTTATATCTATGTACTGAAATTTCAGTTTCAGTAAAAAATAAGGGACAGTTGAAGGATGGTGTGTGGGAATGATCTTGGAGGTGGAGAAGGAATTTGTTTGTGTGGGAACTCTCTCTTTTGCAGGAATTAAAAGCTGAATTAGAAGGAGTAAAACTCAAGCAAGGACAGCAAGATTTTGGACTTGGAGGCATGATCATAAAGGCATCTACACGGTCAAATCTGCCTACAATCTGTTGAATCAGGACCATCTGAATAGGCAAGACAGCAAGTGGAAACTTATATGGAATAAAAGGCTCCCCTTGAAAATTTCAGCTTTTACATGGAAAGTGATGCAGGACAGAATTCCTGCCAAGGAAAATATGAAGAAAAGGGGCCGGTCAACTGATCCAGGTGACTCATTGTGTGCTTTTTGTGGAGAACATCCAGAAACCATAGAACATCTCTTGTTGTCATACAGAACAGCTTGGACAATATGGACTACATGCTATAACTGGTGGGGGATCCAAACTGCATCTCAGAGAGGAGGTTGTGAACACCTGCTGCAGCATATTGGCATGGAATCTAATGGACTAAAACGTGAGGCTTGTACAGTGGTGTGGTTTGCCACTATTTGGACAGTATGGTTGGCGGAACAGGAAGATTCTCAACACAGTTGAGGTTGATTCCCCAACCAAGGCATTAGAGGTAATAAAGGTCAGATCGTGCGCTTGGATAAAAGCTAATCTACTGCAGAATTTACCCTCTCCAATATGGTTCAAAACCCCCCGTGAGGAATTTTCTTTGGATTTGTGATAGTTTACTTGGAGATTGCTTATTTTGATCTATTGTGATAAGCTCCTGAATGCTATCTTCTATATAATGGATTGGAAAATCCCATATGCTCCCTAATATGATATAGAGTTTTCTTTTGTTGATAAAAAAAATAATAATAATAATAAATGTTGCTTTTACAATTAGTAGTACTACTGTTTAATTAAGAATCATATTATTGACATTAGTATACAAGTATGCTTAAACAGCCCTAAGTGTTGAATTTTCTAATAAGGAAATGTCACTTTATAGATTAAATTTAGAATTTAAGTTTTGAATTTAACACTTAAAAAATTTAATTTTTTTAATACATTAATCCAATGTTGTCCTTAACAACACATTTGGAGGTTTGGGATGCAGGATAAGATATGATTTGATAAGATTAAAACAATAGGATAAATTGGATTGGATAGCATTAATTATATGATATCTAATCCTATATTTAGGGTGTAGTAGGATTGGCTATAAATATATATATGTTTATGGACAAAAATACCCTATAATGTAATATAACAATAATTTTAAAATTTTTTTAAATTGCAATTTTATTTTTTTATAAATGCAAACATCAAGAAAATTGAATTAATTTAAAATAATTCAAACAATAATATAATCTGATTTATTAATAAAATTAATTTTCATTAATTTAATTTATTAGCAAAATTGATTTTCATTAATTAACCAAACAAATTCTGTTTCCTTATTTAATTATTCAATTTATCAATTATTATTACATATTTTTCTTTCTTTCTTTTTTTTTCTTCTTGGAAACAAGCAAAAACCCGAGAGTCCCATTCATCTTTCCATTGTTCATATTCTTCAACAGGAGTTACAGGACTAGGGTACCTTTTTTCAGTCACAGGTTTTGATATTTGACTTGATTTTCAGTTGGGTTCTTTGATTTTAACAAAAGATAGGTTGAATTAGGATGAAGAAGTAAGGGATTAATGTGCGAAGTTACTAATATAGAGAATCTTCCAATTTTTGCTAATGACGCCATTGGACCACCTTGCCTGATATGAAGATGATCGGATTTTGCAGTACATTTTCTGATGATCGGAAAGACTTTGTTTTCCCTGCACTAGATTGTGAGGCCGTCAAAGATATAGATCTAACCGGAGCTTCACTTTCCCGGACAAAAGTTAAGAAAAGGAGAGGCGAGTCATCAGGAAGAAAATAGAGAGAATAAAGGGGTAGAGTTGGTAAATTGAATCCAATCTATTCGTATCCTATGAGTATGGTGGGAGTAAATTTATCTCCGAGGATGGGATTGGACAAATCATTAAATACTATTAATCTTATCTCAAGTACTCTCCAAATATGAGATTAAGTTAGACAAGATAATTTTTTAACCAATCCCAATTTGTCCAAATCTCCAAACAAGCTATAAGATCATATAGGAAAAGATTGGGGTCGAGGTAGCT